GGCTCTTTATGGGATTGACGATGGCCATCACTCTGATTGTGCAGAGCGCATCGTGTCGCGCGCAATGGCAACAGATTTTGTTCTCACTAGTTGTATGGGGTACCTTCGCTGGGGGCTTCGGCTCACTCGTAAGTGTGCTTGCTCCTCTCCAGGTTTTGGCACTGATTGAATGATATGCGGTTCCATTGTACAGCTCGACTCCCTGCTTGGTGCGACACTGCAACGTACCCGGTACGTGAAGACGACGAAGCGGATCTGGACTGAAGAAGCTGGCGCACTGGACGCGAAGGCAGACGTGAAGGTTATCAGCGGACTGGACATGCTCACGAACAACCAGGTCAGTGTTATGGACTACGGATCGCGTGTACGGTGTGCTGAGCATAAGCGTGCTAGGTCAATCTGCTTTCTTCGGTCGCTACTGCTGTCTTGCTCGGGTTTCTCGCTTGACTTATGCGCCTCGCGATGCTTCCCTCTCATGAACAGTATGGATTTCTGTGAGTACGTTATGTATTGCTATGCACACTGCGATCAAGTTTTCTTTCTTACTTGCCAGTACATGGCATCCAGTCGCCAATTCGACTGATTTATTTTTCAATGCGGGTCAATATTCTCGCATTATACTCGTCTCAATATCATGTTGTAGGCAATATTCGTGTTGCGCTGCAGTCAATGAAAACGTTGTGCTAGAGGAAAGAAATCTGACCGCTCTGGAACCGATATCTGATGCGATGTATGTATGAATTGTACACTATAGCCACGACTCAGGCATAGCACTCACTCCTAAATCAGCACAAGACGGACAGGGTCTGATGCATGCATGTTCCGACGGCCGGGGTTTTGCAGCCTCACCCACAGTTGGGAGATTGCCACAAGACTAGTCCGGACTGTAATATGATAGTCGTACCGCCTCATGCCAAGGCCATGTCCTCAAAGCGGCTAACCTTTGCTCTTTCACGTCTCCACCTCGACGTTACCTGTGCTCAGTCCACCACGCACGTCGAGCCGCTTGCTATAAGCTAACTACATGCTAGACAACATCATTGTATTCATCCTGCAATGAACTACCTTCACGGCCACCCCCTTCCTTATTTGGAGTACCTGTCTGCCATCCCAGTTAAGATCAGGGTAGCATCGACGACCCAAGTCAGGACGAACCTTGCACACACAACTTAGAGGAACACCATCTCTTTCCCTACACTATGTTACCCCTCCACAACGCCGCACTCCCGATCCACACGCTCCCCACCGAGGTGCTGGTCAAAACCTTTGGTCGGATATGGCAGTGTCGACGAAGCCTACATCTGACCTCAGTCTGTCGGCGATGGCACATGATCTGCCTCTCCTCATTCTCCATCTCGGAGATTGAGCGACATCCGAGATTCCGTGGTCGGTTCGACTCCTCAGGCGACCACGGCCAACTTGGTGTACGGGATATCTAGACCCAACATTCTGACTGCGGGACTATCAATGCGAGGATGTGCCGCCTCACACTTGCAATATGGTTGTTTAGCTTCAAACCCCATACATCATTTGGTGCACGAAAGGACTAAGCGTGGTTTAGGGACATCAGTCGAGAAGGCCACACAGGCATCCTCTGACAGAAAACCGCATGGCCCGCCCGCTCTCGGAACGCATCTGCTTTCTTGACTGTTTGCCAGTCGTCATCTCTGCACGCGTTGGTTGTACCTCACTTCACAAGAAATCCTGGAGTAAAGAAAGCGTATTCTTGGATATGAGGCAAGAGTCTGGGAAATCATCAAGACTGCGAAATTCGATTCGGGAAGGTTAACCTAGCCTACGCGTAGTATGCGTTCATAGGCTTTCGGACGAGCTGCAATCTGTACTACAATAGCGCTAGGGGCAAGACTCGCCGTACTAGTGTACAGGTTTGTTCACAACTACTGCGCGGTGCACAGGACCAAGGCACAGGGTGTACACTTACTACCCGTGCATCCTAAGTCGCTCGCGCGATTCACCGGATCCCTCACACTGACAACGGCCTCGAGGCTGATTATGTACACCTAGCGGTGCGCTTTTCAGTGGCATCCTTGGCTAGCGGCGTGGTAGGTATGGAGGTGTACGACATCGGATGTGTACGGTCCGTAGAACCTCACCTCTGAGATCTGAGCGTCCAGTGTGACGGCGCTGGTTACTCGAGACCTGAGGCAAATGCTCTTCAGGTCTGGACCTCTTAGGAACGCCTAGCGAGACTAGACCCGGGAGGGGGGAGAGTTTCATGTTCGTGGCAGCAGAACGGCCGTGTGCATCATGGCTTTGCGTAGCAGATGAACCCACAGCGATGAATCGATAATGATGACTTCCGCGCCCGAGGACAGCAGGGCGCCCAAGTGAAGTGGTCCGCTGACTTGCGAAGGTGTGTTCTATTGTCATGACACGCGTAGCATGGTTCACCTTCTGGCCTTCGCTACGCAACTATAGAGCCATCCGAATGCCGTCGCATCATCTGGGAACGCGTAGCTAATGTGGTGCATCTGAGGGCGTCTGCCTGCACCTTCCGTGCATTCTATAACCCACTCTATTGACGCACAAAGATATACACGCAAGCTATCCGTTCAGAGATCAAGAAACTACGTCACGATGATAGACCATATCGAGCTTGATCACGGGTGACGTTGGCAGACGACCTCGTTCTACTGATGCAACCCCACACCCTCGACGATCAGCATAGACGCATGGGTATGAGAAGATCCTCGCCAGGGGCCGAGGAACCGGAGGTGACAGAAGGCAATTAATGAACCGTGATGTGCAGCCTTCTTCTCGGCCAAGACACCCAATAGGAGACGAGGTGCTCCAAGACAGGATGTTGTACCCTGCCTCGATGCATCTCGTCTCGGACACCCAACTCCCATGCCAGGCAACGCGTGTGCGGCCAGAAGCACGCCCACTTGTGGCGTGGGCAACGTCTATTTTCTCGCTTGTAGACACAAGCCGAGAGAAACATGGTTATCAGGAACGATGCCGTTCTATATGTACTGGGATTATAACAAAGGCCCTGTTGCTAATGCAATCGGAACGACGTACTCTCGGAAAGCGCACTTGCGTGGCGTATGTTGGAACGATACCGGCGGCCGAGGGAATCTTCGAAGGCCTCATAGGACATCACGTCTAGATGTTCTATAGAGAATCAAGGCGTCTTGTCATATAGTGTCCGCAGCTACTCGTTCGCACAGCTCATATATATCGTACACCGCAGCCGCGACGAATGGCCATTCCGTCAAGCACTGTAAATGAAAGGTTAAGGACGGCGTGACATGCACGGCGTGGCAGTGAGACCGGCGAGTCTAGACAACTCGGACCTCGAGCGGCCGGAGTCTCGACGGAGCGCGGATGGAGTGGGGCAGCCAAGCTGACTGAAAGTGAAAATGGGACGAGAACAGGTCTGAGACTAGGCCAGGATGCTCGAAGACGGGCGGGTGACTAGGATGTCGAGAATCGATGCAGCGAGATAGGCAGGTTGTTTGGCGAACGGGCCTCGTGCTCGGGGCGTGCGGGGGTGAAGCCCTACTTACGGTCGGGTAGGACGCATCTGTGCGAATTCCGATTTGATGGCGCGCGCGAACACCGTGGTCGAAGACCACGCTAGTGTAGTGGGCCACACAAAGACACTGCCGATCGGAGTGCTCCTAAGAGCCAAATACATATATAGGAGAGGGCAGGTGAGAGTGAGAGAGGGCGGTGGGCTAGGGCAGAGACGGCGAGGGGTCGGCAACGTCGGAAATAAGACAGCGAGAGTATCGTAGATGTGCCTCGAGGCGAGAGTGTACAGCATCGTAGAAGGTGAAGATGGACCCGTCGCACACAGGTCGGCGCAAGGCATTCAGACCCCAATCACCCCTGGTCTACCGGCCCGATAGTGGCGCCATCCTGCTGAACCGGCCAAGCAGACCAGTAAGAAAAGGGGTAAAGATGTCATTATTGACGGCGTCAGATGCTGTGTCACTGTCGCCGGAGGAAGAAAGGAAGGGCAGATTACGTGATATTGATGCTCACCCCAGTGGCTGGGGACCCGCTAATCTGGCTCTGGGAGGGCAAAGTTCAGAACATGCGGGACAGGGCACCGCTGCGTCTTGTTTGCAGCTCGTCCTCGTTGGTTTTCAGAACTGTTGTCCATTGCGCACATCATGGCATTGTAGTTGCTGAACACAACCATCGTGAGTGTCGATTTCTCTTCTGTTCAACATCATCCAAGCGCTCGTCACCGCCAGCGAACGACTGTCCTACCGCGGCAACGCTGTGACAAAGCATGCTCAATGTCTTCCGTACCCCTACAGCGACGGCCACATACAACGCCATGACCATGAATACGTGCGGGGCACGCCTTTCTCCCTCGAAGGATCAAGTTTGTTCAAGCTTGCGTCCTCCCCCCTTCCCACCAACCCCCATCGACATAACCTCGCGATCGTGGCGAATCTCGCCACATCAATGTCCTTTTGCTCAAGCGTCACATACCGCGTTCACTCCCCTCGATACTCCCGTGCCACCGGATTCACGAGCGAAATCCACGCCGCCTTCCGATCAACATCGCCAACCCCAACCCGTTTACCCGTCTCCCCCGCTCACCGACGCGGCACTCGCATCGACTATCCCGCTTCCCGACGTATCTGGCGAAACCTTTCACAAGCAAGATTGCCCAAATTGTCGAGAAGAAGGTGTCGATGAGAACATGTCACACGATGGCGCCCGACACATCGCGCCGTTATCTCCTCCACCAACAGTGCTCGTCGGCACATCGGAGCTACCGCAGGGAAGTCAGTCCGAGGATGAGGGGCATCAGATAGAGAGCTGGAGGTACGGCGAGGATCTGCAGGACGGCGGTGCGACTGCGCCACTGTTCCCGCCGGTACGTGATGATTCTGGGTTCGAAGAGTTTGGGTCGCAGGGAGGTTGCGAGGATGACCGGACGCTTGACGGCTCTCAAGGTGCTGACGCGTTGATTGAGCCGACCTCGGTATGGATTCCTCATTCGCCGCTGAGCATGGAGGAGGGCTTGCAGACTGTCGACCTGCCGTCTCTGCATGGTGCTCTGCCCAACTTCCCCGTTGACAGTCAAAGTAGCGGTTATTCCGATACCTTCGTCTCCTCGGTCAGCCCTTCGGGTATGGAGAGCAATGCGGAGAGCTGGATGCCTAGCCCCGTCATGGACTGGAGTCCAAGCAACACGTTGATAGACGTTACTTCTCCACCATCCTCTCCGAAGCCCGGTGGGCTTTCTCTTGAGCTCGACGAGCTTGATTCTTCGCTTGGCTTTCATACGATGCCCTTGCAGCAACCCTCTCCGCTTTCTCCCGTCGAGCTATCCTTTGGCCAGCACACCCCCTATTGGTTCCAAGGGAAGTCTTCTATTCAACCGTTTGGTGAGCCATTGCTCTCGAACGAGCCAACGCCTCTTGCGGAGGAACACGATCCTTTCATTCACTACCCCCACTCCTCCCTACTCCATCCCCAGTCCACCGACGTTGACTCGGAGTTTTCCGACACCATTATGCCTTCGGAGGATGATGATATTGCAGAACTGCCGCCACCGTCTCCGCGACGACAACCTCTGAACGACCTTTACGACCCCACGCTCCCCCATGGGGACATCCACCTCACGCCCGTACCGCGATCGCCACATAGTAATCTCCTCCCTCTAGCAGATCTCGACATGTATGACGCCTCAGAGCCCCCAGGATCCCCGCATTCCCCTCATTCTTTGCTCCCGGAGCTCGAAGGCGAGGACCTGTCCATGTTCCCGGAGCCGGCAGGCCCTCCGATGGACACGATCGCGCCCTCGCTTCTTGGTGGCGCCCCGGAACCTCAAGCGGGTCTCGGACTCTTTCTGCAGTCGGACCCGCCTCTCGCGCGCTCGCCGTCACCCGATGAAGACGACTTTGGCTTCCTCGATATTCAGCTGGACCCCGAGAGCGCGAACGTCGAGATCGACGAGTTCCTCGCGCTCCGGGCGCTCCGCAAGAACGCTCTTGCCCAGGAACGTGCGGCACGCATGGCCGAGGCGGAGCTCGGCGAGCGGATTACTGCCACCGCGAGCGCACTTCTACCCCCGTCTCACGTCCAAGGAGACCCCGATGCGATGCAAATGGACTCCGACATCTTAGACCCTGCGGAGAAGCGCATTCGCAAGCGCGAGTTGCATTCGCTGATGGACATGCGCGCAGAGGCTCGTCGGACGCGGAAGCTGCAGAAGCAGCGGTCGAAGGAAATCGGAGCCCTGCTCGACTTCAAGATGCATTCGCCGATGTCGCCGATGGAGGGGCTCCCGCCCCTTGTCGTGGGAGGCGGTAAGGGCTGGACGAAGACCATCGCGCACCTAGTGGCGCACATGGTCTTGCGGCGGCGCGACAGGAGTCGCCCGCTGGAGAACAAAGCCACCGGTCTTGAATCGCCCTTGCGGAGACCGACGTCTCTGCGTCATTCCATATCTGCCGATGATCTGCTGCTCTCTACTACTTCTACGGGTTCGGAAGAGGATGAGGATGATGACATGGAGATGTGACTGCCCTTTGTCAGTTTGTCGCGTGCAAAATGGTGCGCTGCGCAAGCTTCTCTGCTACCTGACCTTATTGCTGACTTGCCCTCGTTCTCGTGACTTCTTTCTGTATCGATAGGCTGGAAGGCAACAGATTGTACTATACTAACATCCTCCATGCGATCACCCCTTCTGTAGCTATTACGTGTTGTCATAGTCGTCATTTCTGCATACCCCTGCTTTCATCTAACCCATCCACGTTCCGTATGTTCTCTCGTGCTGCAAATGCAGACTGGACTTGTTTCCGCCCGTGTGCCCGTGGCCTCGGTATCGTTTACCTAATCATTTTCCAATCGCATGTACAAACATGAGCATGCTCCTGCGCGAGAGAGCAACATCAAGCGGGTATATTACTCGGTACACAACGGTCGCTCGTACGTGACTTGGTACATAGGTAGACGAATAACTTCACTTCACCATCGAAATATCTGTGACGAATCAGCAAGGGCAAAGTCCAAACTCCTCGAGATGTCTATAGATATCCCCATACTCATACCACCATTCCTTCTCAAGCTTCGATCGCCTCGCCCAAAGTCGTGCCCGCAGCACCGTGGGGCTGCTCCGATGCATCCGGTCCACTCTGCGTCCGCGCGGACTGCGAGAGCGTCTGCTGTCCGGGTACTGCGTGCGGCTGCAGTTCATCCTGTCTCACTCCACGTTTGTCCAACGCGTACGCCCTGCACGCCTCCCGGCTGTGCACGAGCCGCGGGTCCTCGCGATCCCACGCGTAGATGGTGAAGCCCGGAAAGTTGTACTCGAGCAGCTCCTTCAAGTCTGGCAGCATGAGCGGGTCGGGGCTGTACGTACCGCTGTTGTTGTCGATGACGAGCTCCCACTGGACCGCGTCGTCTGGCGTGTCGTCGCTGAAGTTCTCCCAGCCGCCGGCGGGGCGCGGATGGAACTCGCCCGAGTAGCGCACGGCCTGCGCGCAATTCGCGTGGAGCGCGTGCTTGGACGCGAAGTCGACGAAGAACGCGGCGCCCGTCTCGGAAAAACGGAACGAGTCGTCCTCGACCGCGATGACGTACGTGTACACTGCGGGCTTGACGCGGTGCGCGAACGGGGTTGGGCTGCTCGCGTTGATGTTTGGGAGCGGGAGCGGAGCGAGGCCAGAGAGCAGACCGCCCGAGTGGCCGGCACTCCCGGAAGGCACTGAGCTGTTGTTGCCTATCCCGATGGGGTTTCCGACGCTGCCATGGAGGAGTAGGCGGAAGATGTCCTCTGGGCCGTCGATTACACCAAAGGCGTTCGCGGTCGAGCGCGCGTAGAGCATGCGGTGGCCCGCCTGGATGGTGGAACGCACCGCGATGGACGCAGGACCCTGGAAGATGGTTTGTGCGGCTTTGTAGTTCCTGTTCCAATGCTGCACGGTGTCTCCGAAGAACATGCGGACACCCTTGATGTAAATTTTCCAGGTCGAGTACAGGCGGGCGTCGTTGAGGTTGGTCAGAAGACCGACGGTCGGAGAGAAATGGCGGGAGAAGCGGATGGGACCATCGAAGACATATTGCCTGCGCTCCGCCTTTGGATCGGTGGATGGCGTAGATTCGATCTGGTCAAGACACAATCAGCCCCCTGCCGTGTGCCGGGTTGGTGATAGCTACATTCAACCAAAACGTGCCCCGATTCTTGCGGAACGAGACAGTCTCGATCGTACACTCCTTCGCACCAGGCGACACGGACGTAGAGAACTTGCCGATGTGGTCATCCGTGATGTTACCGACGTCCTTGTCGTTGACTTCAACGGTAAGCGTAGCAGTGTTTGGAACGTTCTTGATCTTCCACAGCTCGTTCCATACAGGGGAGAGTGTGTCCGGCTTCACTGTTGACCTGCAACGGATGCACGGCGATATCGAGATTAGATGGACCACGACTTGCCGTGGACGACACCACCTCAAGCAACCTCAACGTACACGAATGACAACTTGTCGTCCAGGTTGGCGACGAAATATGGGTCCGCGGATCCCACGACGTCCATCTTTGGCAGCCCCGATGCACCGATGAACTTGATCGTGAGGTCAACGAGGTGGTGACCTCCATGGTCGTCGGCCTTGAATGCCGCCGCGGCGTCCTTGGCTTCCGTCTTGGCGCGTGACATGGCATTCTGGAGCGAGCCGACTAGTTGAGACATCTGTAGCGGGTTCAATCTGCGGCCCCCAGGCATGGTGATAAACGAAGATAATGCGTCCGTGCGCTTGTTGATGGTCTCGATGTCAGGCGGGATGACTTACGACGGGAATATATGACTGCTTGTGGGCCCTTGTATGCGAGAAGCTATTGCAATTGTGGCGGAGAGGGCGACTCGGAATGGAGAGGCTTCTGTGGCGCGTCGGGCAAGGTCCGCGCTGCACAGCCTCCTCTGACCCGGTGGCTAGTAAGTACTGCCAACGTCGCCACTGCCGCTCCGTCACCACTCTGAGTCAGTCTTCAGAACAAGCAAGCATGCTTCCCGCTTCACCTCAATCTCGATACCTACTTCTAGAGTGCTCGTTGCCTTGAACATTGAATTGTGGTGGCGCAACATATGTGCGATAGAATCGCAATTATTGACTTGGCAGATCTTGTGAGACGGGAACCCTCAGACCCAGGATCTGCCAAATCATCGTAGGTGCATGGGTCAAACAGAATCACTACACATTCTTTGACGAGGAATTCCATCAACGTTTTCACGCTGAGTACCTACTATCGGGCGGGTATCCGGTCTTGAGCTTTCCAAGGAAAGGCCATGGACTCCTATAGTCTATGCGGATCAGACTGCATCCAAGGTCCCTGTCAATCGTCTTGCCACACTACTATCGCGTGCGCAAATAACATGGGAGTTCCCTCCAAAGAACAACCCGTCAGTGCCGTTGTCGTGAGGACGTGAACGATGCAGATGACGGTGATCTATAACAATAGAGATAGAATTGTATAGTGTACAAATGTGCATTTTGCCACAACCCGTAATCCGATCTACAACGAGCGACGCTCACAAGCCGACTGCCGTGAGGAGCTTCTTGAAGTCGGGGGTCCCAAGACCAGTGACAGGGTCCCAACCCTTCTTCGCAGGGAAGCCGTTGGTGTTGCAGCCAGGGTTGGAGCCTGACGTGATGTCGTTGAGGGCGGCGACGCCGTCGGAGTACAGGAAGGGGTTGAGGAAGCCGAGCGGACTCTTGCCTGCCGCGACGAGCTTGTCGTTGACGAGGGAAATGATGGACGCGAACGTGGGGGACGCGCAGGAGGTACCGTCGACCGCCTCTACGGAGCCATCGACGACGACCTCGAAGCTCACACCCTGGGTGGACACATCAGGGAAACCACGGCCGGAGGCGTTGTACTTGCCGGAGTTCGTCTTGCCGAGCGCGGAGAGGTAGGTGCTGACAGCGTCGCTCTGGTAGTCCGGGACGCCCCAGTAGTTGGAGAAGCCGCCGGAGGAGAAGTCAGCCGCGGTCTCGGGGTTTACACCCTGGGTGGCGCCGACGGAGGTCATGTAGGGGCAGCCGGATGGGAAGGTGGGAACAAATTTGGAGCAGCTGGCAGACTGCGAGCCGGAGACACCACCGTCACCCGAGGCGAAGAGGATAGAAACACCACGAGCACCAAGCTGAGCATACGCGTTACAGAGTTTACTGTAACCGTCGTCGGTCAACATATCGTTCGACAGCACTGAGGAATAGATACGTACACTGCGAGGGCACGAGAGATGGTACTCTCGTCCTGGCCATATGAAGTCGTCAAGACCGAAGGAGGAGCGTCCTCATCGAGGAGGGCGTTGATGACATCAAGGAAGCCCTCGAGGTCACCGTCCTGGAAGTCATCTCCAACGGAGATAAAGGTAGTCGGGACACCAGTGGCAACGCCGACAGTGTACTGAATGTCGAGGTTAGCCTCGACACCGGCCTTGCTACCCGTCTGCGAGTTGGAACCGCCATCGAGGGTCTGCAGGGTGAAGGTGGTGCTCGAAGAGATGTCGGTGCGGTACTTCTTCAAGAAAGTCTAGACGTGCATGGTCAGGTGAATATGGAGATCAGTAGGTTAGCCAAACCATGCGTACCTTGAGGTCTTTCTTGTTGGCGTACTGGTCGATAAAGCCAGTCACACCCAGCTGGTTTGACGACTCGGTCGCAGCTGTGGTAGGAATGTTGTAGATGGCCTGAAGACAAGCAGGAGTGATCGTGCTCGAACACGACGAGGGGATAGCACCGGCGGTGAAGTTCTGGATTTCAGCCGTCTTCTTAACGGGCGACTGGAAGACCGGGAGGTGGCTGTACGGATTAGGGAATGTCACCGTAGGGTGGACGAGATCGAGGTGGCCCTGAAGCTCTGCCGGAATAGAGTACGAAAGGGTGCGGATCGCCTCCACGCCGGTGTCATCGTGCTTAAAGACAGAGAAGTCGGCGTCGAAGAGATCGTTCGCCTTGCTGACAGGAACCTCGAAGGAGATCCACTCGCCAGTAGAGGAGATCGTCTTCGCAGTGATGTCGTTCTCCTTCAGCCAAGAATTGACAGCGTCGATGCTGTCCTGCCCAGGAGCAACAAGCTGCTGTACCTGCGAACGATCGATGAGTCGGGCTCGCCCTTCCGATTGTCAAGGCCATAACATACCTCCGCCTTGGAGAGGTGCTTGCCGTAGTTAGCACTCTTCGGCGTGCTGACATCATACAGCTTGCGCTCAAGCTCAGAGAAGTTGCTCTCGGCAAGAGCAAGACGCAGCTTCAGAGTCCGGTTGGAGTCCGCAGAGCCTACGAGCGAGAATCCGTTCGGGGCGCTGGGGCGGGACTCGTGCAGCTTGAGGTTGCGGGCGGTGGGCTTGCCCAAGGCAAGAGCGATGAGCGATGCGAGGAACAAGCCGGAGGCAACCATTGCGACTCTGAACCGTCTGGGTCGTGAGGTGGAAGAGGACCTTGAATCCCCTTCCGTGACTTCGCAAATCCTTTATACTTCGCTAGACGCACCCATCTTGGTAGTCAAGACCGCAAGATGACGAAAGATAGGCACAGGCAGACGTCCGATGCAAAAGCACATGGTACTATCAGTCGCCAAAGAGTGATGACTGAGAGACGTAGTTCGTTGGAATACCTTGGGTCGGTCTTCCTGGAGAAACGAGCAGGGCGCATCACTGTGGCGGCGGGGAGCCCCGCCGGACGTCTGTGTCGCGGGGAAGCATGATGGTGTCGACGTATGCACAGTGCGGTCTCCATGTGCTGAAGTGCGATTGAGACTGATCAGTACAGCTTGGATGTATAGTGTCTATTTTTGTTTGCGTCTAGGCGATAGGTATCGCGTGCTCGACAGCTTGGCGACCGGAAGTGGCGAGTGGTTCACCGAACGACCACATGAAAGAGCCGCACCTGGCGCGTGGAAGTGCTGTGTAATGTGGCATGACCGGATTGACCCGTTGTTCTTGAGCGTCCTGGACACTCATGCTTGATCTGCGCGTTTGGACATTCTTTCTTCCCCGTAGTTTGCGCTGCCTGCTGGGGAATCAATAACTTTGCTCATTCAAAAGCAGCCCAATTGTCTCCCGTGGGGTGGCCTGTCCAACGAGCCGAGGGCGATATGGGATAGAGTTGAGAGGGCCAGGTTTCATGTATGCCGATCTCCCATCAATTCCCCGGACAATTGTTGTTGATGAGATCGCCCAGTAGGGGGCTACGTATCTCACGTGAGCAAGATCAAGACATCTTCAGCCGTACTTACCCGAATGACCCGAACCGCGGAGGACTTCGTCCTATGTAAGTGGATCTGACATGGTGGTCCTACTGAGGAATCCATATAAGCTGGCAATAGCTAGCGAACGTGAGGAGTTGGAGCAACTGGTGGCTGGGAGGGCACATCACAAAGCACGTGTCGTATTACAGCGACGCGCCATATACACTATCGGTAACACCCCAGTCGAGCCGTGTGTTAGTTTAACGTCCAACGTCCATGATGAAGCTGATCGCTCCCATTGCGGCCACGCTGGACGTCTGAGGTCAGGTAGTACATAGGGCGAAGACTGCCCACCCGAGCCACAACCCCGGACTCCACACAAACCGCGCGGTGCCACCCCGCGCCTGGGTGCACCATCGTGAAGGAATTTGTTGTTGATGGGCAGGTTCACAGCTATCGCGTTCAACGAACAAGGTCTCCGCAACGACAAGGAGGAGGTGACTATCTGGACTGGTTCGCTCCTCATAGTGCAATGGAGGAAGGTGGCTCGGACGCAAACGAATCCCTAATCTGTGCAAGATCGCAAAATGCTATGGGTTCACCAATCACTCAGCGTAAGTTCCTTGGCTACGTCGGGTAACTACTCATTGCTCGTCTCGTGATTATGAATCATATGAGGAGACAAGACGGCTGAAAGAGCGGTTACATGACAGGCTCTAATATCATCGACGCAAACGACTTCATGAACATATGCACCGCAGCTCATGTTGTACTTACAATTCTGACGCAACATATGATAGAGCATTGTGGATAGCGAAGGCGAAAGCACAGGCTTCATGCGATGGAGCCGAGCAAGACAGCAGTAGCGACCGAAGAAAGCAGATTGACCTAGCACGCTTATGCTCAGCACACCGTACACGCGATCCGTAGTCCATAACACTGACCTGGTTGTTCGTGAGCATGTCCAGTCCGCTGATAACCTTCACGTCTGCCTTCGCGTCCAGTGCGCCAGCTTCTTCAGTCCAGATCCGCTTCGTCGTCTTCACGTACCGGGTACGTTGCAGTGTCGCACCAAGCAGGGAGTCGAGCTGTACAATGGAACCGCATATCATTCAATCAGTGCCAAAACCTGGAGAGGAGCAAGCACACTTACGAGTGAGCCGAAGCCCCCAGCGAAGGTACCCCATACAACTAGTGAGAACAAAATCTGTTGCCATTGCGCGCGACACGATGCACTCTGCACAATCAGAGTGATGGCCATCGTCAATCCCATGAAG